TATATATATATATATATTTCTTCTATCCTCATTCCATATTTCATATATTTCTGGGCAAGTTGTATATTCCTGAAAATTAGTGCAATATAATTATCAACAAATAAAATTAAATAAATAAAGAAAAGAGTGTACAGGAATAAGCAACTTAGCGTTAAATTTCTCCTAAAATGATAGAGATAATTGTAACATTCGTAATTGAATTCGTTAAATTATACTTTGAAAAAAAGTAATAGTAGATTCTTACAGCACTTTTATCGACCACGAGGTTTACTTTTCAGAGTAAGTCGAAAACCGGGATCATTCTATTTAACAATCTATCTATCCATCTTTCTCTTTTTCTCTATCTCTATCTTACTCTCTTTATAGAAAAAAAAAGAAAAAAGAAAAGAACATGCAAAATGCTCTCTGATCCTTGGTGCGTTGTGAGATTTGATAGCCGATTATATATATGCGATCGATACATTGTTGATTCTACTTGGAAAAAAAAATTATCATTAAATTAATTATATAATAATAATAATAATGTCTAGTAAAGTCATTGTCTGAAGAAAAAAAAGGAAAAAAAAAAAAGAAGAAAGAAAAAAGAAAAAAAGAAAATAAGAATATACACTCGTACATACGATGCAACTTGAAAAATTAGAATCGTCTTACGTTAAAGAAATTTTCCTAGATATGCAGAATGTTCCAAGACTCGTTTTGCCGAATTGGAAACATTCTAAATTTATTATTTACTAAATTCTGTATGTGTACGATGTTTTTCGTTATGCAAGATTACGTAAAAGGATTTTTTCTTCTCGGTAAAACAACTTCTGTGACACCTCGCATGTCTGCGACATTTAACACGTTGACGCATATTTTTTTATTTTTACTTCTAAATCTTCTTTAGAAATATGTTTGTTTAAATATATTATCATTGATACATATATATTTATTTGTAAAATTTACGAAAATGATGGATGAAAGAATAGTATTTATAAATTAAAATGATTATGACGGTTGTAGCGTATATTTGTCGTATTGCTTTCTTTTTTACAAAAAAGAAACAAGAAAAAATATTTGCGTGCTAACAGGATAAATTGAATAATGTGATAGTTATAGCCGTCGTCATTTGCGCCAACTTGTTAAGTGATTTATTAATTAATCAATTGATTAATTATAAAACGAACGAAAAATTAATATATTACATTTTTTTTTATTAATATTTGTTGCGTTATTTCTACTAAAACTATTATCTCTCATTGATGCCTAAAATAGAAAATCAGAAAAAAAGATATATAAAAAAAAGAAATCTTTTAAAACTGACAGTTCTCCTTCACATTGCTGCTTCAAAATAGAAAATGCGTTCTGATGTAGAACCATTTTGATCCACCAATCGTATTTTTTTTACAGTTTTCGGGGAACGAGGGAACACGTTCATTTCAGAGACGGACGAGATCTTACGTTTATATATATAAATAAATATGAGACAAAAAAAAACAAAAACTTAACTAAGGAACGATCTTATACTCTATACTAAGTAATTGTTTTTTATATGCGACATAGTATATTATTATATTATATATTATTAAAGAAAAAAAAGATACAAAAAAAAAATGAAAATCAACAACAACAAATAATGAAGGAAAAAAAAACTGTATGCAGCTAGGCGTAAGCGTACGTTTAAATACAATAATTTACTATATATACAAATTACATTAAATAGGATTACTCGAATTGAATGATTTTTAGTGTTTGTTTTATGTACTATAGCTAGAATTATAAAAATATGAGCGAATATAATGATTTGGACAAAAAAAAGCAAACTTAACATTTACAAATCTTTTTTTTCGTATCGTAAAACGTTTTTGCTTAATAATATACATATAT